GAACTTGCCTAACAGACTTCCAATTCTCTGCGCAAATGAAGGCAACAAGCATGGATTGGAAAATCCCCACGGGCGGAAAACAGATTAGGAGCAAACCACTGATTTCCTTGTGTATCATGTGCTGGTCCTGGGAACTCACAGGCCAGGCCTGAGCAAGAGTTCTGGTGGGGCGACTGCTGCGGTGGTAAAGCCAGCCTCGTGCAGAGAAGTGAGGGAAAGAGAAACCAAGAGGTGGGGAGGCACAGCCATCGCAGGGAAGGTGGCCCGCCCTGCACCGCCTTCGCCCCACTCCTCCATGCCAAGACACAGGGAGACAGGAATGAGGCCCAGGGCCTGGCATCCTCGGAGGAGGTGCACTGTCTCTGTGGCAGAGGTCACCGCTCCCCTGGAAGTCCCTGGGCAGCAGGCACAGGGCCATGGGCTCAGAACTCTGACACAGGAAACCGAAGACGCATCCCAGGTCCCCCAACCAGCCCCACAGGACCTAGAGCAAGTCACCGCACCACTACTCCTAGTAGCCCTGGTTTCCCCATCTAAGATATGGAGATGCTGAGGTCTCCCTCCTGGGACCATTTGGAAGCTCTGAACAGAATGGAATTGGGACTGGGATGCTGTCTGTGGCAAACTGTGAAGCGCCGGGCACAGCTTACCCACCCCTGGGTCACCTGCCTGGGAGCCTCTCAAGGCCAGCCCTCCTTTCTGAGGCACAGCATCCCAAGGCCATTGATGGATCCCTTGGGACAGGCTGGGGAAGGAGGAGGGGGAAAGGCTTATCTAACCCACCCCATTGTCTTCACTGACCTTTGCTCCCCAGCCTAGCTGGGTTTAGGAAAAGCAGCCTTATTAGCCGAGCTGCTGCACAGAAAAGACCTATTCAGAGTTAGCGTGCTCTTTTTTTTAAAGGCCTAGACCACCCTGTTCCATCCTCCCACTTAAACCAACAAAAACACAAGCAGGAGAACAAACCTGTCTCATTTTGAGAAGCTCAAAAATGTAATGCAAACTTTAAAAGGTAAATGGGGCTCATCCACAGGCTTGCTAGAATCCTGGTTCCTCTGGGTTGGCTAAAGGGGAGTGGACCGTGGAGGAGGAGGTTATCAGGGGAGGGGAGGAAATGCCTGGGAATGGGCAGGAGGGGGGCGTGGTGCCTGTGGTGGGGCCCAGGAGATAGGCGGAGGGGCAGGTGGGAAAAGAACTGAAAATTCTTGTGTTTGAAAATTCTATCAGTTCATGAAGGAGAACCTGACTTTCTGGTGTTGGGGTTTACCTGCCTCAGTGTGCCACACTGGACTGCAGCAAAGCGCACCCCAGTCCCAAGTCTAGTCAGCCCAGACCAGACGTCTACCAAAGGCAGCCAAGGCCAGGTGCAGTGGCTCATGTCTGTAATCCCAACACTCTGGGAGGCCAAGGCAGGAGAACTGTTTGAGCCCAGGTGTTCGAGACCGGCCTGGGCAACATAGTGAGTTCCCGTCTCTACAAAAATTCAACAATTATCTGGGCATGGTAGCACATGCCTGTCATCCCGGCAGCTTCAAGAGGCCAAGGCAAGAGGATTACTTGAGCCCAGGAGGTTGGGGTTGCAGCGAGCCATGGTAGTGCCATTGCACTGTAGCCTGGGTGACCAGTGAGACCCTGTCTCAAAATAAATAAATGCATAAATACATAAATAAACAAACAAATAAAGCAGCCAAGGAGAAAAGCCTATTTGCATGTACATACACAATACACAGGCCCGCCAGGCCAGCTTCAGCCAGGGCTGCCTTGCATACAGATGGGCCACCTCCCACCTCAGCCACTAGAGTCCTCCTAGGGTACCCAGCAGGGCTGCAACTGCCACCAGCTCCCCAGAAAGGAGAGCAGGGTCACTGTCCTCACTAGCTCATCAGCAAGCCTGGCCACACAAGAGGCTCAGACACAAACATTCAGGTGAGCTGTCTAAGCAGCAAGCACTTTTGAAGAGGAAAATGAGGTGTGCTGGGAGAGCCCCAAGGACTCTAACAACAGGAGAAACCTACTGTGTGTAGATCCTGACCTCATTCAACCTTGTGTGGATAATGGGGTACACTGGGTTCTGTCCACCTTACAGAAGAGGACCACAGAGAGGCTTGGCCAGTTAATAACTTGCCGAATATACATGGAGGAGCTGAGATTCAAACTCAAGACACCCTGAGCCTCTGGGTAATGGGGTTATCAGCCATCTGCTCAGTGGTCACTGGTAAGGAAGTGACACTTCCCAGCACGGGAGAAAGAGGGCAAACCTGGGTCAGGAATCAAGAATAGGGAGTCACCAGTGTCCCCTCATTAATAGTAATGCAAACATGACATTAACATGACAGCAAACATGACAACAGGCCAAGGGCACAACAGATTCAGACCCACGGCCTGAACAGGAGACGATCATGGCAGCAAACCCACCCAGGACAGGTACTTCCAATGTCAGCCACCTTCCCAGACAAGGCTAGGAACCCCTCTAAGCCTCCACTTGCTTGTCTGTAAAATGGGGATAATACTGCTTCCCCAAGGTTCCTTTGAGGAGAAGCAAAGACATGAGGCGCAAGCCTGGTGTCTGACCCCACTTTTGACACCACCCAGAGAGAGATTCATCATCTCCCTCAGCTCAGGCCCGATCTTTGTTCAATTTAAAGCTACAAGTCCCAGAACAGAAAAACCCAGTTTCACCAGGAGAGGTGGCTCACACCTCTAATCACAGCTACTTGGGAGGCTGAGCTGGGAGGATCACTCAAGCCTGGGAGGTTGAGGCTGTAGTGAGCCATGAGTGTTCCACTGCACTCCAGCCTGGGTGACAGAGTGACACCCTGTCTTGAAAAAAGGGTGGGGGGGGGGAAGAAAGAAAGAAAAACTCAGTTTCTAAGAGAAGGGCCTTTCCTGGTTTCCAAGCATTCCGTTTATATTAGTGGGACAACACCCCAAGGCCACATGTGTCTTTAAGAGACAAAACTTAATAATAATAATTCCAACTGTAACTGAAATTTGTAATAATAATGCTGAATTTTCATTTCACCCCAGAGCAAAGGTTTGCTGCCACAACATTTGCAGCAGTCCTGTGCTAAGTAGACTTGGGGGAGGATGGGTTCTGTGGGAAACCCTATACTTCAACCCCCCACTGGTCCCCAGTGGGGTGGAAAACTCGGTCTAGCCTAGTCCTCCACTCCTGTATTATTCACTCTCGCAGCTGACACGCTGAGCCAGACTGGGGCCGCATCTCTTTGCCCAAAACATGACAGAGACTTTCCTGCAAGTATGCTCTAAACACTCCAGCCCTCCAGTGTCCTGCAGAGAGGCACTCTCGCCAAGTGTCATTGATGACGCAGCTGAAAACCAGAAACATTTCATTTTCCAGCCACGAGACTGCAGCAGTCTGCTCCTTTGTACTGCCCTTGGGGAAACCGAGGCCCAGACAACTGACCCTTCAGAAGCCCCCCAGGACCGCGAAGTCAAAGGGGTTGAGGTACTCTAAACAGCCCCAAAATGAATTAAATCACCTAACTTTGCACTACTCTCACTGCCCTCAAGCAGCCTGTGGTGGGAGGTGGGGGTGGATACAGTGTTACAAAGAGAAACCTGAGTTGTAGCCATAGATTGCTAATCAGTAACAAAATATCCCTCTAAACCCAGTCAGTCCTACCTTGAACCCACAGGCTCAGGATGGTAAATAAAGGAAAAATATGCTGCACTGCCCCCGCCCCACCTCCATGGATATGTCTCCCACCCCAGCCCCCACCCCACCACGCCTGCAGAGGCCACTTGGCCACCAAACCAAGGAGAAAACGTCCCTCCCCACCTCAGGCTGAGGGGTCCTGGGGAGGGCAGTTATTTCAGGCCTAGACACACTTTCTCTGAATTAGGAAAGGCTTTAAAGGCAACCAGAAAGGGCTGTTCATTCTCCACCTTCAGGCAAAAAGTTCAGGCAGTTGTAACTACCAGCAGAACTGGAAGCCAAGCAACCAAAAAACGTGTAAGAACAGGGAGGCCCTGGATCCACCGGCAGGGACGAGAAAGCCGGCAGGGAGCAGAAGGGCTGAGCAGGAGGCTGGGAGAGGGAGCAGGCTGCAGGCTCCCACAGCCCCAAGCTGGGGCCACCCTCTGCACTGGGCGCAGCAGTAATATGGGCGTGGAAGACAGGCGCTGACAGAGGCCAAAGGTCCACCCACCCACACCCTGGTCACGGATGACCATGGCACTTCCTATAAGGCGACCAACAGTTTATAAATCCCTTCAGACAGTTTATCTCCACCTCAAATCCACGAGGCAGAGGTCATCATCTCCATTTTACAGACAAAGAAACGGAGATAGACAGAGGAGAAAAACTAGAATCCGTTCTAAATACATCTCCCTCGGGAAAGTCTTAGAGTCTCGGCTGAGAAAGGTCCCGGGACTAGAAGGGCGGAATTTATGGCAAACCAGAAAGGCTCTGAGCCCCAGGCCTCTTCCCAGCTGCCCCTGGGTGTCAAGCAGCTGCCTGTGCACCCTTCCAATCCCCGCACCCTACTGCAGAACTCCAGCCACTGCACACACGTGGACACTGCTTGGCTTGGAGGACACCTGTTGCTGCAAGAGGGGAAATTCACCTGCGCTCAAAGAGGCCTTGTATCCTTTTCTGTTCAGAACTTCCCGCTACTAGGCAAGGATTTCCAAGACTGGGATGAGGCGCCCACCGCCAGCCCAGCAGTGACAGACGCCAATTTTGGCAACTACACCCACTAGAAACTTTCCTGGGACCGGACCGGCAGCAGGTTCTGAGCTGAACAGAAAGACGCTCCACCACTGGACCGGCCCACAACCGCCCAAAGCCCTACTTTGGGTGGGTGCGGGATCCCCTGGTCCAGGATCCCCTGGTCCAGGATCCATGACAGCTGGAGGAGGAGTCTGGAGTGGCGGCCGCACGAGTGAGACCGCCAGGGACCACCTCCTCTCGCCGCAGCCTGGGGAAGGGACTGCAGCCAGGGAGACCCGCGCTGCGCGGCCCGTGTAGTCCTTACCGTGCAGACCGTTGGGGATGCTGCGGTGGTGCGGCGGCGCCGACAGGTCGTCCAGGGACCGACGTGTTGCTCCTGCCTTGCCTTCGGGGGCCTTGTGCGGCCCAGGGGGCAGCAGCGGGGGTGGGACATGGTGGTGGTGGTCCGGGCTGCCGCCGCTGCCCGCGCTGGACGTACTGCTGCCGTCGCCCACGTCGCGGGCCCCCGCGCCGGGCGCGCCACCCGCCAGCGGCCCGCTCAGGCTGGCCTGGCTGTCGATGGAGCTGCGGGAGCCGGCGCCGCCCCCGCCGCCGCCGCCGCCGCCGCCGCCTGAGCCCCCAGTCGCCGCCAGTGCCGCGCGCTCCTCGTCCAGCAGCAGCACCAGCTCCTTGAGCTCCAGGTTCTCGCGCAGCAGGGCCTCCTGGCGCGCCTCGAGCTCGCGCAGTTTCTGCTGCGAGCGGGCCACCTCGTGCCACACGGCGCCGGCCGCGTGGCGCCCGAAGCGCTGCCACTCGCGCGCCAGCTTGCGCCCCTTCTGCCGGTCGTCGTCGAGGAAGCAGCAGAGCTCGCGCAGCTCCTGGTTGTCGTCCTGCAGCCGCTGGTTCACGTCCTTGAGGCCGCGGATCTCCAGCAGGTGCTGCTGCAGCCTCCGGTTCACGTCGCGCATCAGGCCGCCGTGCTCCAGCATGAGGCCCACCTTCTCGCCCTCCGCGCGCCGCAGCCGCCGCGCCAGCTCCTCCTTGCTCCAGCGGAGCAGCTCCTCGTCCGGCACCTGGCTCAGCTCCTCCGACGCCGCCGCCGCCGTCGCTGCGGGCTTCGCCATGGCGGGGCCGTCACCGCGGCATCGCCCTCGCCGGCGGCGCTCCCCGCGCCGGGGCTCCGCTGGGCCGGTCCGCGCGCGGGCGGGCGGCCGGGGAGCGTGCGGCCCGCCCCGCGCCTGCGCCCCTCTCGCCGCGCCCGCCGGGGCTGCCCGGGAGCCCGCGCGCCTCGGGGCTGACGAGCGGAGGCGGCTGCTGCGTCGGCGGCCGCGGAGCCGGGCGCTCTCAGGGCTCTGGCGAGGCAGGCGGAGGCCCGCCCCCGGCCCAGCTCCGGGAGCCCCCGCCGCCCCGCCCACCCCGGGCGGAGAGTGGGCGGGGCTCCGAGGCCCGGCCCCGCCCCCGAGGGCGACGGGGGAGCAGAGGCGCGGCCCCCGCCGTCCCCCTGCGCGGTGCGCCCGCCCGGCCGGTGCCCTCTCAGAGGCGCGTTCCGGCCGCGGTCCCGCCCTCCCGGCCGTGCGATTGGGCCGCTCCGGGGGTGTGCGGGAGGGGCGGGGCACGCGTGGGGGGAGCCGCGGGGGTGGTACGGTCCATCCGCGGGGTTTCCGACCCCCGCCCGCAGCCGGCTCCCGGCGGTTCAAGTTTCTGCGCCCAGAGGACGCGGCCTTGGCCAATCCCAGGGCTACAGGGCGCTTTTAAAATGCAGGTACGACTGCGGGGAGGGGGACGGTGGGAAAGGTAGGGCCGGGCTTCCCTTAAAGGCGACGCGCAGAAATAGCAGTCGAGCCCCCTCCCCGGCCCGCGTCCCCCGCCCTCCGCCCTCTCCCCAGATAAACAAATACCCACGATCTGGGCGACGGCGCCCCTTCTCCCTCCCGGGGGCACCAGAGTTCAGGGCAGTCGGAGACTCAGCGAACAATAGGACTGTGACATGGGGGTCGCTCTTCCCCGCGGCAGGGCGGCTCTTTGTCCCCTTCCCTGCCCCCAGGCTCCTCCGCCCCCGTCCCCACCCGGGTCTCCTGCCGGAGCGCGCAGCAGGGCTGCGTCTCCACTCCTAGCCCGGGGCTGAGCTAAGCGCTGGCGTCCGCGCCCCGGCAGGGCCAGGGCCTTGCCAGCCGCGTCCCGCAGCGTGGTCGGTACTCTCTGCCCCGATGGGGCGAGAGCGCCGGGAACCTGCCCCCAGCCCGGAGTGGCGCTCGGAGCCACGCTCCCCCCGCCGCCCACTCGACCGCTAAGTCCCTGGGATTCGGGAGATAATCTGCAATTCGCGGGGTGGAAACCACTGGGAAGGTGGGAAGGTCTCCCACAGGGTCCTGAACGCCGGGGTCCGGGGGCGCCGAGCCGGCCACAGAACTGCCCACCGGCGGCCCTCGCGGGACCCCCGTCCTTCCCACTGCCTGTAAGTCTGTCTCGTTATCCTCCGGTCTCCAAAGCGCATTTACGGCGCGTCTACCGCCAGCAGGCGGGGTGGAGGGGTGTCCCTCCCCCGGAACCTGCAACGAGATCAAACCCGCGCACGCGACAGTGAGCGGCCCACTGCCAGGAGCGCGCGCCCGCGCAGCAGCTGATGCCCCGTTTACAGTTGCTACGCCATTCATTCAGCTGTGTACTCAGCGCCTACTCGCCGCGGGGCCTGCTCCAGCCCCGGGGAATTATGCAGGGCACCGGACTGCCCTCTGCGAGGGACTTGGCGTCCTGGGAGCAGGATGGGGAGAAGACACACGAGCTAGATCACAATAAAACTTGTCTTAAGTGCTATGCGGGGCATTAAGTCGAGCTGCTGTCATAGAAAGCATAATCAGTTACTTTAGATCCAGCGGTCAGGGAGGTCGGGAGGCACATCTAAGCTGAAGTCTGATTGACAAGGTACAAAGATAAGGGGAAGGGCATTCCAGGCAGCTGGAACAGCCAGTGCCAAGGCCCTAGGGCTGGCCTGTTAGGGGCCTGTTCCAAGGCCAGTGGGACTGGGGGTTGGCCAGGGAAGAGGTGTGAGAGCTGAGGTCAGAGGTCAGAGATTAGAGGGGCCAGATCATGTATGATTCCAAGGCAGCTGGGGAGGCAGTGGGGGTTTTAGCAGGGAAGCAACATGACCTCGTTTACCTTTTTAAGAGGCTCACCCTGACCCACATGTGGAGAAGAGATGGAGGGGAGTACACAGAGCGGTCCAGATTCAATATCTCGTCTCCCACCCGTTCGCCAGTCTCTCCACACAGATGGTCAGGAGAGGGTGGTGGGGAGAGGATGGGCTGAGCACAGCTTCCAAGGTTAAACCCAGGGATGCTGAGGGCCTCCCAGGATCTGCCCAAGTGAGCCAGCTCCTGAGGGGAGGGGATATCCTTCCCTCTGAGGCACTGCTCTGCTGGCCCAGCACAGCTCAGTTTGAGTTTAGAGAGGGAGGCGCTTTCAGCTTCTGCCTGGGGGAGCTGCAGGTCTGTCTTAACCCCCAGGAAGCCAGATTAACTTCAAGGAGCTCCTTGCAGGCTCCCTGCAGAATGAAGCCCGTGCAGAGTTGCTCCTGGGAGATTGAAGTGTAAACGTTGGATACACCATAGGAAAAACCCACCAGCTCACCAGGGAAGTTGCTGAGATAGCTCTGTGCTTTGTGAGAACCCCCTCCCCATTCGTGCACGGCTCCAGGTGGTTCCTCGGGCCTGTTAGCTCTGCCCCCTGATCCTCCAGAGCTAGCAGCTTCCGCTGAACTTCCAAGAAAAAAGAGAAGCCTCTATCTAGATGGGGTTTATTTGCGTCTTCTACAGGCTGTGTGGACCAAGGACCAAGAGTTCCTCTGTGGAGTCTTGATAGCTTTGCTCACGTCCTCCGGGTAGAACACAGACAAAGTGCTAGCGGTGGTGGTACTGGGTGGCTTGAGGGAAGATCTCTCTGCTCCCAACACAAGGGCTGGGAATGCTTGGGCAAAACAGGATAGGACCAGAGGAGGTGAGAGGGCCCAGGGCTGAAACAGGGTCCTGAAGGAAATGGGACTTCCAGGGCAGAGCCACCTCCCGGAGGGCCCATATAATAGGGTCCAGGAGTAGGTGCCATGCCCCCGGAGTACTCACAGCCCAACAGAACCAGGATCCCAAAATGTCACGTGAACGTGACTTTGCTTTTTTTTTTTTTTTTTGTCTGAGACAGTGTCTCACTCTGTCTCCCAAGCTGGAGTGCACTGGCACTATCTTGGCTCAGTGCAACCTCAACCTCCAGGCTCAAGAGATCCTCCCACCTCAGCCTCCTAAGTAGCTGGGACCATAGGCACTACCATGCCTGGTTATTTTCTTTTTTCTTCTTCTTTTTTTTTTTTTTCCCATAGAGACAGGGTCTCACTCTGTTTGCCAGGCTGGTCTCAAACTCCTGTGCTCAAGCAATCCAATCCTTCTGCCTCAATAACTTTGCTTCTTAAGCCCCTTGGTCATGACAATTCTGCTTTGTTACAAAAACAGTAAAACTGGCCGGGCGCGGTGGTTCACTCCTGTAATCCCAGCACTTTGGGAGGCTGAAGCGGGCAGATCACGAGGTCAGGAGATCAAGACCATCCTGGCTAACACAGTGAAACCCCATCTCTACTAAAAATACAAAAAAATTAGCCGGCCCGAGGGGCAGCGCCTGTAGTCCCAGCTACTCGGGAGGCTGAGGCAGGAGAATGGCGTGAACCCGGGAGGCAGAGCTTGCAGGGAGCCGAGATCGCGCTACAGCCTCGCGACAGAGCGAAACTCCATCTCAAAAAAAAAAAAGAAAAGAAAAGAAAAGAAAAGAAAACAGTAAAACCAAATCATGGTGCACTAACACAATCACACTCTAGGTGCCCAGGAAAAGTAGTTGTGAGTCTTTTAAAAATAAAGGTGCCCCACCAACATTCTACCCCCGTTTTTTAAAAGACTCTCCCAGGATATGTGTGTTCATTTGTGACAGCCAGCAGGGGCTGAGAACCGGTACACTAACACGTGATAGATGCTAACACATAGTCGACAAAATACTCCAAAACCTAGGGCCTGTGGGGGGAGTGCTGGTACAAGCTGGTGACAAGCAGAGTGTACCCCTCACTTTCAGGGGGAATGGGCTTTCTTACTCTTTTCCATGGTTGGGGTTCTGAGCTCCAGCCCCAGAGGCAGTACCATTTGGTGTTTGCTGAGTGAATGTCAAACCTCTCAGTGCATGACAGACTGAGTCTGAGGCCTTCATTTTGAAGGTGAGGAAAAACAGAGCCCCAGAAGGAAGATGCCTTTCCCAAGGTCACTTTCACTTTTTAGCTCAGTGAACATAGAGGAAATCTATGAGTATATATGCATTTATGCACAAACACATTTAAATGGGCATGTATATACCCATTGCAATGCATTGTGGTAAGTACCGCCAACGAGAATGGGCAGAACACATCATTATAGGAGCGTGCTCAGGCACTGGGAATGGCTTCCTAGAGGAGTTGAATCTTGAAGGAGTTTGTCGTCTTGTGGAGTGGGGAGGAGGCTCCAGGTGGAGGAAGCAGCACAAGCAAAGGCCCAAAGGTGAGCAGGTGAGGGGTGTGGAGAGACACTATTACACCTTGCAGCTGGGGTATACAGGAGGGAACAGCAGGGTGGGGAAAGTCAGGAAGAGGTTGAGCGATGGAGCTGGCCAGAGGAGGGTTTTGTAAGCCTCAGAAGGAAGCTGGGCCCTTTCCCTGGGGCCTCTGATATCTAATAATAGCAATGACAACGACAATAACCAACAGCACCTGCCACTGATCCTGGACTCGGTATATGCCAATGATTCTAACCTGCCATCTTTTGAGGGTTATAATAAACCTATGAGAAGGTGTCATTAGCCCTTCGAGGACTGAACATGGGTTCTTGTTGGCTTGGTTGTTTGCCTCCAAGAAGCTCAGATCATTGGGCGTGAACTTACAGGCAGTGTTCAGAGGCTTGTGGACACCCAAGGACTCTGGTATGGCCAACAGAGTGTGTGGTGGTAGCTGAATCTTTTTCAGGACAGTGAGGCAGTGGTGGCTGACCAGGTCTGGGCCAGACTATGAGGTATCATCCTGAAAGGCTGCCAGCAGCAAGTCAGGGTCCACTGAAAAGTGGCTAAGTGTCATTAATATGACACAATGTTGACTGGGCACTTTCTAGGTACCCAGCACTGTG